CAATGCTATGAGTTTAATTGAATCCAGAAATTAAAATAGTTGAGCACATGCCTCACACTTAAAAAAGTATATGGTCTTAAATACAATTTTGCTTTCAAGTTGCTATAACTAACCTCAGTGGTATTGTTAAATACGTGACCCCAAGTCCACCTCCTTTCACCCCATCCCAATGGCATGCTACCTGTTCCTCAACTACAGTACACTCTTTTCATTCTTCATCTAAGCCTTGAATTTATTGTTCCCTCTCTCAGAAACTCTCATCCACTGAATCTTTACACAAATGGCTCCTTATCATTCAGGTCTCTGCTTAGATGTTACTGCTTCATTAAGACCTTTTCCAATTGATCTCCTTAATGAAATTAGATTCCTGCCCATCACTCCTCATTACATAACCCTGTTTATTTCACACTCTGAAATTATCTCCTCTATTCACATCTTACTGTATCCTCTATGTAAAAGTTATTCTTATCAGCATATAAAGCTCTTCTGTTGTGTCCATGGCTGCCTCACCAGTGTTTAAAATACTGTCCAGCCCACAGCAGATGCTATATACTTTTTAGAATAAATTAGTAAGATGCATCACTACAAATTTCTTTTTTTAAATAGAAATGGGATGAGGAGTCCAACATGAAATTTTCAGCCTCACTTTTAATATAGCTGTGATTCTAAAGATCTGATTTTCACTAACCATGGTATTTACAAATATATAAAATGAAAAATAGCTTTCAGATTCAGCATTAACTACTTAGTGGATAAGATGAGATTAGGCAGATTCGGGTATATATTACCACTAAGTATTCATAGCAAGTGAAGTATAATTTTAGAGGTGATAAAACTAAGGTGCAGGAAAATTGACTTGCTCAAACTTATATAGCTACTGAGTTAGTAAACCAGGGCATGGCTGGCACTCTGTAGATTGGGTGGATGAATTGGGATGTGAACCTTGATCATCTAACTCTAAATCCCATCCCATCCTTGTTATCATGGTGATATGAAAGACTTTCAAAATCCTTGAACTCCTGATCCAGGTAGTAAATACCATAAACTTCAAATATTTGATTCTAACCAAAAATATCTGAACAAATTACACTTAGCTGCTTTCAAATCTATGTGAAAACCAGGCTCCTATATAGAGATATATCAAATGACCAGAGTCTCATTTCTGTAGTATCTGTATCACTTTAGATGCAGCTATTAAATATATTAATTTTATATTTAAATTTACTAATTAAAAATAGTTTTCTGAATATGTCAGAGTTGGTAGCACAAAAACCGGATTCTCTGCAGTCTTAATACAAAAGCCCAGTCATTTATCTTTAATAGATAGAACACTAACCTTGAGGTACTACAATAGGCCTAAAGACAAAGCACAATATTTTAATCAACCAGGAGATGAGGAGTAATTACAGTCTATGGTTAAAATTAGTAAAGTGAATTAGCCAGAGTTAACAACAGTATTCCATTAAAAAGAAAAGATTACTCCCCCATTAATTCCAGAAACTTAAAAGTTTGCCACTTCACCTTCACTGACATTGAAAAATAGAAAATACACTCTATGCTAAAACAGCTTTATCAGTATGAGTGTAAAGAAAGAATAAAAAGAATAACTTTCCTTGATAGAATGAACTATCTCAGGAGGTGGTAAGGTGGTAAATATCCTATAACTAGAGGCTGTCCAGCAGATGACAAATTCCCCTTTAGGAGGGCAGCAGTAGAAGAGATTTAAAACAAAGAATTAAAGCCCTGGTAGCCATTAAAATGAACTTTAATCCTCTGATTCTTTGGTATTTATATATTTTTATTTTTAAATATATTTTTATTGATTTCAGAGAGGAAAGAAGGGGGAGGGAGAGCAAGAGATAAAAACATCAATGATGAGAATCATTGATTGGCTGCCTCATGCACACCCCCTACTGAGGATCAAGCCCACAATCCAGACACATGCCTTTGACTGGAATAAAACCCAGGATCCTTCATTCTGCAGGCAATGCTCTATCCACTGAGTCAAGCCAGCTAAGGCTGATAATGTGGTATTTTATGAGTTATCCAAGAAGATAAACTCAGAACCATCACTTATAAAATAAGGACCATGGACAGCATCTAAAGTACACATAGGCAAAGAAATTATTTTGAACAATGCCAAGTAGAAACCCACAATGACCAACTGGTTTCCTGGCAAAAGAATGTTAGACTCTTAGTAATGAAATACAGACATAAATCCAAGGAAACCCTCAGAACTCTCTGTAATAGAGTCTACCACTTCAATACAATAAATGTAAGGACTTATAATTAATTATAATGGACTGAAAATCGACTATTTGCTGAGTAGTACTGATATGAGAAACAGCAAGCTCCCGGGCTCTCCTTATGGGATCTTATCCTATAAAGATTGAAGAATAAAATTTGCAGACTAAAATAATTTTAGCGAAATTGTGGAAGTTTATTGCAAGCATATACAAACTCCCCCTGCGAAGGAGTACTTAAAATAGGAGAGCCCTCTCTCTCTCTCTAAAATGGGGGGGGGGGGGGGGGGGAGAACAATCCTGTCCAGTGAGTCTCTTTGACTATGGGTTTATAAATGCTGTTAACTCTTTGTTCATCCACTTTCTAGTTAGACCCTATCTTTTTTCATGTCCTCTGTGCTCTCCTAATTGGTCACTTTCTCTACATGGTATCAGTTCCAAAGTTTCAAAGCCTACTTGGTGCCCCCTCTTCTTCTTCCCCTTACCTTGAAACATTTTTCTGTCCTCTGTGTATGTAAAATAAACAACCTGGAAGCTTGAGCTATCTCTGCCCGTTATGTATATATTCCTCTCCCATGGACCTCCCTTCCCTAAAACTGTATTTTCTGCCTGTAACCTTCTTTCAGTAATAAGCATTTTCATAGTTAGGATCTCTACTGAACTAACCTGCAAGATAAAGAAACTAAAGTTTTTATAATTTAAATAGCATAGGCTAGAAATATGGTTTCCCATGAAAAAAACACAAAAGTTTCCTAATATATTTGCTAGCATTTATTATTGATTTCAGAGAGAGGAAGGGAGAGGGAGAGATAGAAACATCAATGATGAGAGAGAATCATTGATCAGCTGCCTCCTGCAGGAAATTGAGTCCACAACCTGAGCATGTGCTCCTGACCAGAATCAAACCCAGGACCCTTAAATCCACAGCCGACACTCTATCCAGTGAGCCAAACCAGCCAGGGCAGCACTTATTTAATTTAGCTGCTTGACAAGTTGGCACATTTGTATCCTACTAAGGCCTGATGATTTCATTTTCAGGAAGCAAAAATACTCTCTTGGACAGCCAAGAAATCTAAAATTTTGTTTTCTAAGTATTCAGGAGTCCAGTATGGATGTTTACCTTCTTTCTGCCCTTTTGGAGAAGAACAACAATGCTACTGCCAAATTAGAGGACTTTCTTTCCTGGAAGCACATTTAGCATATTTTAACCATCTCAAATAGTTTCAATACTACCTTCTATGTGAAACAAAAACATTTTTCATCAGAGGAAAATACGGTCTTTTAAAAACATATTTGATAAACTGATCTCTAGTTCAATTCAGCTCTAGGTTCCATGGCTTCCTTAAAAAAGGAAAGACAATTCAACATACAACCTCTCTTATTTTCACTGAATTCCTCACAGCAGTGATCAAAATTCATAATTAGGACTGACTCAGAACTTTGTCCAAGTCTCAAGGACAAGTCAACACTAGGAGGCTCAATCAATTGGCAATGCCAGAAAATCTGTCCAGGTTATAAATGATAAATCAATAGAGACACTGTTCTTCATTGAATATTAGTAGACATATCATCTTATATTTGAAAGCTATATGAAGGCCTATGGGGCCATATGAAAGACAGTCGTCTCTGCTTGCTAGATTTAGAAAAAAGACATGAAGAAACATCACTGAAGTCAGTTGCAAAAACCTCAATATATTCAATTTCTACAAAATAATCTTCCAAAAGTTTTATGTGTGCTTTAAATACTTAGTTAATGTTCATAAAAATAATATCTGTGATTTGTTTTCTTGTCTTCATAATTAAATTTGGTGTCTTTATAAATAAAATGAAGAATGGAACCCCAATTTATTATATCATTGAGCTATAATAAAGGGTCACCTTCTGACAATTGATCAGAAATAAATTAAATCTGAAGTTGCCAATTAGTAAAATACTTGTACTTGGAAATACACATAGTTTTCACAAGCTCAAGTCCTTGGTTCTTAGTTTCACAAGCTCAAGCACAATGGCCTCTTTTACATTGACCTGTGGATGATTTTGATTCCTTGTCTTGAATAAAAACACAAGATGATGCCAAAAGCCTTTTGGCTCAGTGGATAGAGTGTCAGCCTGCGGACTGAAAGGTCCCATGTTCAATTCCAGTCAAGGGTATGTACCTAAGTTGCAGGCACATCCCCGGTGGGAGGTGTGCAGGAGGCAGCTGGTCAATGTTTCTCTCTCATCGATGTTTCTAGCTCTCTATCCTTCTCCCTTCCTCTCTGTAAAAAAAATCAATAAAAGATTTTTTTTTTAAAAAAAAACAATACAAGATGATAATTTTTAAAAAGTACAATTGAAGTAGTTTTTATATTGGTTAGGGGATGGTATTAAACACACACACACACACACACACACACAAAAAAAAAAAAAAAAAAAAAAAAAAAAACAGGGTCTAAAAACCACAACCAAAGCATAGTGTGAGGTTTATTCTGAAAGAGACCTGAACCAGATAAGAGAGAAGTAAAGTTGCTTACAAAAAGGTTCTGTGATCACCGGCAACTTAAGAATATACACCAAAACACAGAAAACAAAAATTTCAAAATGAAAACATAGTCACTCAAAATGACACGCAGTCAATGTCAGCTCAGTAGCAGGGGAACCCTGTATGCTGACCAGACCAAGGCAAAAATTAGGTTGTGTCCCAGAGAACAAGACATAGCTTGCCCTATGTCTTGCTGTTTCTAAATGTAGAAACAAAGAGAACACTCTAACACTTACACTTGTCTTCTTGTCAGTTTCATTTCCAAAAAACTGATTGTCTTCATTTTGTTCAATATATGAAGCATTTTCCTTTGGTCCACTGCAACCTGTAAGCTAAAGAAATAAAAAGTTATAAAACATCAGTACTTCCTTGTTTTCTGCAATGTGAAAGAAATGTTTTACAATTTTTAACATGCACATTATAATGTCTAAGAACTGAATATTATTAAATATTGCTTGTGTCTGTTTTAGAATAGGAATACACGGTTTAACCCATTTTTATTATTGCTCCCAAAGAGAAAACATAAAATGGGACAGTTATTCAAAGACAAGCTTTTCTTCAGGGAGTGTTGAACTTGGATCGTCCAAATGCAAATTGATGATCTGCTAGAAGCTAAACGTGGTTAATGGGAAGATGAAGATAGAAGAGTTGATTGCATTTCATCTAAGTTCATACTGTAGTACCCTCTGGAGTCAACATTACAGGCAGAGGCACTGAGTGACTTTGTTCTGGGCTATTGTTTCAAGGACCTTTCTATGACTACAGCTTTGGATGACTGAAATAATGTTCGCTCATTGGCCATTGTAGAAGATTGTGTTCCCTAAACTCAGGGTTAGTCTCCATTGTGTGCAAATGTATCACTTAGCCACCTTTGCCTTGTCCTGTAAGAATTAAGGGCTTGAGGAATTGGTTCAAGAAAATGCTGTCTAGCTATTGCTATTGTTGCAAATAATAAAGTCATTAGTCTTTGCCCTAGTAGTCTACTGAAAGCACCCATGAAATTGTGGCAGGGTTTCTGGATTGCAAGAAGGGTAAAATCCTAGACCCTTCACAGTTCTTGACAGTTATGGTGACAAGAACAGAATGTTGACAGAGTTGTGGCTTTCTGGATCCTATACCCTCAGCCATTCCAAACATTTCTAACGTCATCCATTCCACTGACTGATAGCACTTGGGTTGTAATCTTTCCAACATCTTTCTTGTATCCCACTGGTGGTCAAGGTCAAAGGCCAATATTTATTCATATGGCAAGGCCCCACTACATTTACAGTGCTTCTTCAATATCTAAACTCCTCTGCGATCTGCCGTAATGTTCAATGTGGTTACTATATTGATGATGCCCTGTTAGTTGGCAAGTCAGAAGACTCAGCCTGCAGAAGAGGAAACTGAACTGAGAGAATTGAGGGCCAATCTGGGCAAATTCCCTCTAGATATCAAATAAAAAACTGTGTGTGTGTGGTCTCAACCTCAAAAAATAGATCCAATATTATATTGGTCTCTAAATATTGGAGAGAATATGGTTTTACATGGACATTTGACTGGATCTTTATTGTCATCTCATACACAAATAAGCATCCTTAAAGTGAGGTCCAAATGAATAGGCTGTATTAGAGGCTCTGGCAAGCTGTGGCATGCTCTCTACATTTTAGCCCTACAACATTGGGGCTAATTTACTGGGAATTTATGAGTAAGAGAGACAGCTTCCACCCAAAAACCCCCTGAAGCCAAACCCTGGCTCAATGGGGTCTTCAAGGCTCAGGGGTTTACACTAAATGCTTTGGCCTGCTTCACTAAAGGTTTAGTTAATCTGAAACCAATGGTGTCCACTGGGATGCTGATGTTTACTCTCAGTTCTAGCTACTCAGAACTGAAATGACTAGCTTAGGAAATTAAAAAGCAATTTATTGTGGGTAGTCATGTCCTAGGCTGGTATCATCCCTGACAAAAGTCAATCTTTACCTTAACAGCCTAATTGAAATGTCAAAATGATTTTTCTTTTTTCCAGAGCCTCCAAGCACAAGCACTCCTCATTGTTATTGAGCTCATTGTTGACTGTTAACTATCCTGCACTCACCTAAGTAAAAGTATGTGTCTATCATTTTACCCTTTATCTAATCCCAGAGGTCCCCCCCACCCCCATAGGCTATTTAATGTGCTCTTTACTCTATTTTAAGCATTTCCTGCATCTTAGATACCCTTCCTGTACTAACTCTTGACACCGAGAAGTCTTTTCCACCTGTTCTATATGAGTTCTCACTTTTTACTGTTACTTTCTCTGAATTTCTAGTGGTTTCTCACAGTGTCCTATAATTTGCATTCTCCTTTAAGTATAAACATTGCCCACATGTACAAACAACTTCCTACACTTGTTCTGAACATGAGAAGCTCTGTAACATTGTCTCTTAACTATGTTTTAGAGTTTAATGCAACTTTGCAGTGGAGTCTAAGGCTTTCCAAAATTGCTTAAATGTGCTTATTTCTCTATTTCAAGAATATTCTGCAATGTATGACACACATTTACAGTTCTAGGCTACTTTTAACTGAAAAATAGAGGTTTCATAGACTGTTTAATGTGTTCTTTATTCTATTTTAAGCATTTCCTGCATCTTAGATACCCTTCCTATAAAAACTCTTGGCACCAAGAAGTCTTTTCCACCTATTCTATACAAGTTTTTACTTTTTACTGTTACTTTCTCTGAATTACTAGTGGTTTCTCACAGTGTCCTATAATTTGCATTATCCTCTAAGTTTAAGCATTGCCCTCATGTACAAACAACTTCCTACACACTGTTCAGAACCTGAGAAGCTCTGTAACATTGTCTCTCAATTATGTTTTAGAGTTTAATGCTACATTCCAGTGAAGTCTAAGGCTTTCCAAAGCTGCTTAAATGAGCTTATTTCTCTATTTTAAGATATTCTGCATTGCATGATACACATTTACAGTTCTAGGCTACTTTTAACTGAAAAATAGAGGATACACAGACTGTTTAATGTGCTCTTTACTCTATTTTATGGACTTTCTATATTTTAGATACCCTTTCTATACTAACTCCTGACTCTGAAGTCTTTTCCACCTATTCTATACTAGTTCTCACCTACATACTGTTACTTTCTCTGAATTACTCATGTTATCCCCCCCACACACACACACACACACTTTGCTTTCACCCGCTTTCCTAATCTATCGCCAATGGAGTTCATATAACCCAATTATGTCTCTCCTTTTGATTGTAATATATAAAATAAGTGCAAACTGCCATTCTCCAGAGCATTATCTCAGTACCTTGAGATTCTGCTTCCTGGCAATTGTCAACAGTTTGACTCAAATAAACTCACAGAATTTCTTTACGGGTTTGAATGTTTCTTGTGTTAACATAAGCTAGGTGCTTGGAGGATATGGGTAGTTTATGTCCACTTATCTCATTTAGAATAAAACAGAAACCTAGAAAGTAAACAGTATCATCCTTATTTCCCAAATAAGAAAACAGAGCCTAGTTCTATCTAACCACTGCACTAAACTCTGGCACCACTTTCTTACCCTCTCACTTATCCTTTAACCTTTCAAAGTGTGGTCCCCAGACTAAAAACCATCAGCATTACCCAGAGACTTGCTAGAAAGACACATTTTTGGGCCTCGCCCCCAACCTACTGACTCCGAAACTGTAGGGGTGAGAACTGCAATCTGTGTTTCTTGTGTGATTTTGACACATCCGAGTTTGAAAGCCACTGATCTAGATGTCAAAGTGTCAAATGATGGCAAGTGCTTAAAATAAATAAAGTGAGCTGCCAGGTGTAAGAAATATTTAGGAAGAGATGGATAGTCCTTGGCAGAAAGGAGAGCTCATGCCCTGTCTAATAAGAGCAATCTTTAGTCATTTCCAAGCATGTTCGTTGCAATGAGAAAACCCAAACCCAATGCTGCAGGATGTTTAAAATTTTCAAGACAACTTGGAAGTCTGAACTTTTATGTGAAATACCTTGATTTTTAAAGGTGGAAAAAGTATATATTTTTAAAATACCATATGTGCTAACTCAGAATAGATCAAACAAAATACAAACTCGGGCTGCAGTCTGCACAGGGCAGCCAGCTTGCGACTTCAGCTTCAGTCCCTGAATGCTGCCATTTTCCCCCTGAATACTGACCTGACTGCAAGCTTACAGCTCACCAAGGACCTTCTGGTCTTCACTGTCTTCCACTTTCTCTGACTTTCAATAGTCCTCCCCATCTTCCTTTATTTTTCCTCTGGCATTTAATATCATTACTACTTCCTGCTCCTTGAAACTGTTATCTCCTAGTTGACACCCTATCTTTAGGTGATTGATTACTCCTTTCATTTCCTCTTCCTCTTTTTAGCACCCGAGGTCAGCTGTTTTTCCTTTCCTCCATCTCTTCTCACTCCCAGAAGACTCAAGTCTACAGAATCTGTCCCCCAATTTCTAGTCTTACACTTTCAGTTACTTGCCTGTATTACCTCTGAAACTCACATTGGTACCTCAAATCTGTTCAATATAAATGGAATCATTTTCTCTTCAGAACCCACTTCTACTCCTGGGTACCCCATTTCTGTCACTTCGCAATATTTTAAGAACTACATATATGCATCCCTCTTTCACAAAGTCTATATACTACTCATTTTTAAGCTAGATGAAGTGCTCTCATTTATGATGCTCCCATGATATATACTTCTGCTTTACATTTTTAATGACTAATCACCTGTGTTTCAAAGAATAACTTAGAATATAAACAAAAGAAAAATGAACTTATTATTTTTATATTATCTACTCAAATAGATTTTAAGTTTCTTGAAAATGATTGATATCCTTCATGTGCCAGGTGCCAGAGACATAGAAGCATGGAACAAACTGGAATATTAGAGGGAAGATAGGGTAGGTGGGTGGGTGTGTGGGAAAAGGTCAACCAAACAATTTGTATGCATATATGCATAATTCATGGGCACAAACAATAAGGTGGTGAAGGCTCTAGGCAAGGGCAGAAGCATATTAGAAGGGTTCAACAGGGAAAAAGGGGGACTTAAGTAATACTTTCAACAATGAAGAGTTAAAAATAAATAAATAATAATCAGAGGCCCAAAATCCTATATCATAAAAGCCTAATATGCTAAGAGTCCAACCAGTCGACCAGTCGCTATGATGCACACTGACCACCAGGGGGCAGATGCTCTGACTGGTCAGTTAGCTTACTGCTGGCATCCAGCTGATAGGGACTGGGTGAGATGGGCTGGACATGCCCTAGAGCCCTCCTGTGGTCACTCCCCGGCTGGCCAATCTCTAGCATTCCTACCACAGCCCCTTACACCATTGGGATCCCTCA